GGTATTGAAAATGGGCCATGTAGGTCCACGTTCTGATATAGCCCTTTTTTTGATGATTTAAGTGACATTATTCATCGAAAATGTTTCAAATTTGGTATTTAAAGTTCGTGGTGAATACTACAGCCTAGGACAGAAAATTATCTGTGCAGGTCCACGTCTTCGTATAGCCCCATATAACGGTACCTCCTTATATTCGGTATTTTGATAATTTTAGCTACATTATACACCATTTTTTTTTTTTTTAAGTTTCGCATTTGAATATTCTAGTGGCTTATGATAAAAGTTCCCCATTCAGGTCCACGTCGTCGTATAGGCGGCTACATTTGGTATTTTTAATAGATTTTAACAGAATATTTAACGGATTTTATTTTTTTGAAAATTGCCAAATTCATTCCATATTGGGGAGGATATTCGGCCGGGCCGAACTTACTGTTTTTTTACTTGTTTCATATTAAATAGATTTTTTTCCATTTGGTGAAACTCTGTCTGGTATATCTATCGCTTTAATTAATATTTTCTTCTTAACGAAGTCATATCATTCACATTATGTCCCAATATAAACTTTTTTGTTACGGGAGCCCACGACAGACTTTAGAACTTTTCCTTACTGGTTCAAAAACTATTTATTTTCCTGTATTTCCAGTTATTTTACAGCTCACAATTATAGACCAATCGACGCCAACTTTTTTATGAGTTTAGAGATTAGGACATGGTAGAAGCCTACCATCTTGAATGATCATTACATAGCATTTAGCAGTTGAAATGTAAAAAATACGAAAATTCAACAGCGAATATTTTTAATGCTCAATGAAATTGACTTTCCAAAGGTGTCAGACTTAAAAAAAATGCAGTTTTGAGAAAGTGAAGTAAGTGTTTTATTTATTTTATTTTAAGTATGAATGTAAAAAATTATTGCACAAAAATAATATAACATATGCATATGTCAGTGCCAGATTTCTGCGCAAGATCAAGTATGGTTTGAAGTATTTAAGTGCTTCTTTAACTCAATATAATTTTTTCTTGATTTATGTCACAATTCAAGATTAAAAGCTGTAACTCCTACAAAAATCAAAATAAAAATGCGATAAAAGAAAGGGTAAAAAATACTAGAAAAAAATAACAATTTCAAAAAAAAAATCTTTATGCCACCCTTTGGGTATATGAGCGAAAAAGGCCATTGGCCTTCGCATTGGTTCAGAGTAGGTTGACGTATATAATTAGATATTTGAGATATAAGAAAATATTTAATTGTGAAATATTGTTCTATTGAATTCTATTGGTATGACAGAGAGCGTAAATATAGAGCAAGTGGAATGAAATTTTGAAAAATTTCGAGGCTCCAGTCAAAGTCCAAAATAAAGGATGTCATTACATATTTTGAAAATAGGATTACGTTTTAAATTCTACCCCGCTCATATCTAAGAATGAACTCAAAATATTCTTTCTTCTTTAGGTAATGAAGGGATACCAAGTAAATAAGTGAAAAAGTTCTATTGAATTCTATTGGTATGACAGAGAGCGTAAATATAGAGCAAGTGGAATGAAATATTGAAAAATTTCGCTGCTCCAGTCAAAGACAAAGGTAAAGGATGTCATTACATATTTTGAAAATAGGATTACGTTTTTAATTCTACCCTGCTCATTTCTAAGAATGATCTCAAAATATTCTTTCTTCTTTAGGCAATGAAGGGATACCAAGTAAATAAGTGAAAAAGAAGCTAAGTTCGTCCAGATCGAAACTTGCAATAACTGAAAAAATGCCGTTAAAATTGTAAAATGCAGAATTTCGTGTGGTAATGTTATATGGGGGCTATATGAAAAAAATGGACCTGTATAGCAATTTTCTGCTAGATCATCGACATACCCATTTGAAATAATGAGATCAAAATACCTAACATAGAGAGGTAACGTAAGATGGAGGTCATACGAGAACGTGGGTCCGTAGTAGATAGTTTTCTGTCATAGAAGGAAATATTCATTACTAACTCAAAGTACTAAATTTTAAAATATTCCCTTACAAAGTGTGACACAAATCATCAAAATAACGAATATATGAAGGTATAGTTATATGGGCTATATGCCAAAACTTGGTGCTCTACAAGTGTATTTCCTACATACTAAAAAAACTGCTAATTTGTAACAAATTTGGTTTAAATTAAAAAAACGCTCAAAACACCTTAAACCTAACGGTACAGTTATATGGGGGGCTATACCAAAACGTGGACCTATATGATCCATTTTTGGGATCATAGCAAGACAATATATTCTAAACATGCATTGGTCATAAAATTATATATTTTAAGGAAATATTTGCATCCATTTTGAGCAAAAATAGAAACGAGAAAATATTTCCTAATTATACCCTCCACCATAGTATGGATGGTATATTTAGTTTGTCAATCCGTTTGTAACTCCTCCAAATATACATGTTACACCACGCAGCATAGAATTCTATGTCGATTTAGCGATGTCCGTCCGTCTGTGGAAATGACTCTAGCTTCCGAACCTACTTCATTTCCACAGTCATTTCCACAGACGGACAGACGTCGCTAAATCGACATAGAGTTCCATACTATGGAGGGTAAACAATTTTACTTAAATGTGTATTATGTCTGCAGGACTTTTGGTATTGAAAATGGGTCATGCAGGTCCACGTTTTGGTATAGCCCCCATATAATGGTACCTCCCATTTTTCGGAATTTTGATGATTTTATTAACAATATTGACCGCAATTGTTTCAAATTTTGTATTTGAAATTCAAAAAGAATACTTCAGCCTAAGACAGAAAATTGTCGGTGCAGGTCCACGTCTTCGTATAGCCCCCATATAACAATACCTCCCGATATTCGGTATTTTGATGATTTCAGCAACATTATTAACAGGAATCGTTTTAAATTTCATATTTGAAGTTCGTAATGAGTACTACAGCCTATGACAAAAAATTTCGTAAGCAGGTCCACGTCTTCGCATATTCACCATATAATGGTTTTCATTTAAGTGGTAGTTTTTGGATTTTTTTTTAGCAAATATTTAAGTTCCTTTCAAATGGTGGAGGGTATTAAAAGTTCGGCTTAGATTAGCTGCTTTTCACCTGTTTTTTCTTAGTTTTTATGACTAGAGAGAGTAGTGACAGAATAGTGAGTCCATGAAGTTAATCTTAAAACCCGGTCAAAAATTTGAGTAGCGTGCTAACATGAGCTTATACGAGAAACATGATATTTCATATTTTGACTATTTGGGGAAGAGGTAGCAGCTGAAATGTATGGTGTTTAAGTTTGGCTTCTCACCTAAATCTGATAACAATATTGCGATGAAGAATATTTATGCCAAAACTTGGACTTCATTCATTTTATATGTGGCTATGATTTTTTCCCATTTGCGGGGCAAGTACAAATCTATTTTCCCAGTTTGAACTACATTGAATAATTTCTTAAGTTTTATATGGCATGTAATATTTTATGCATATCTTTCATGTAAAGCCAGTGGGGTGTCCGATGTAGCCAATGTTAGTCAAAATAACATTTTCAAAAAACACTTTCGATAGCTCCATACAAACATTTTGACAAATTAAAAATCACAAACATTTTAAATTGTTCTCTGTTTTTTTTTTCAAATGTCGCACATCTCAAAAATTCTGTTTATATTAGGTGAGATATGAAGTATGACATAGGGTCATTCTTACTGGTACCGGAGCGGTACCAGAAAATAAAAAAAATATGAAAATAAAAAATTCAGTATTTTTATAAAACTATGATCAGTTATATTCTTTGGCAATCTTGGTCTGGCGTTCGCACATCGTAGTTTTACCGGCCAACAAACATCCGATGCTTAGAAAACTACATCGTACACCCTTTTTAAGGATTGAACAAAATCCATTACACAATATTTTTGTACAGCCATATCATACAGAGGGATTGTGCCTCTATCAGAATATTAAGTAAAGAACCTTTTGAACGTAATTCCCTGTTCGGATCAGGGACATTTCTATAAAACAAATTTTAAGTTGGTCCATTTCATCTGAAATCTTAATAACAATAAATTTGTCGGCAAAACTGATTGATATGTTCTAATTCAATTTACATTGAATTATTTTCGATGTTATAATGCTCAAGTTGATCCTAATTTATTTTATTAATACATCGATTTCGTTAACATTTACCAATGTTTATATTTACATATGTAAAATCAATGATCCCTGATGAAGTTGGAAAGTCCCAACGAAAAATTAAATATGTAGTTCTTATTTTCATTAAAAAAACGCAGACCTAAAAAGGCCAATAAGTCCTAGTCTTAAATCATTGCTATAAAAGTCAATCAAAAATCGTTGAACTGTAACATGAAAATGGTTTCATCATGTACCTGTTTTTATCAATTATAATTATCATTTTCGACTTAGTTCCTGACCCAAATCGACCAATCCAATTATTGAACGGAAAAAAAGTTAAACGCTAGAATTGCAGATGTCAATCATCATCAACATCAGAAGTAGAAGGTCTTCTTCAAAATGATATCAAGGAAAATTGATTCGAACTTGAATACTGAATATAAAGACATAAATTAATAGTATGCATTCAAGATATTTGAATATTCAAAGCCAAAAGCAGAAAAATAAAGGGGCAAAACCAACAACTAAAGTAAAAAATAAAACAGCTGCCCCTTGATACAATCGAGGTTACTTTGTAAGACAGCGGCATTAGCAGCAGCAGCGGTAAAGTTCGTGTCTTAAGTCTTTTGTTTGTGGTACCCCCACAAGATAAACAACCGAAAAAAAACAATACAACTTTTTTTTCGCTAATTGTGTTGTTTCAAATGTTACAACAACAATGAAACTTAAATTATTTTGTTTTAATCTGTGGGAGAATAACAAATCCGACAGTCTTTTTTTTTTTGCATGATTTGTTTGGTGGAACTGTGATGGGGTGGGGATTTTTATTTATTTTTTGTGATTTAACAAAAAAGTTTTTTTTTTTTGTTTATTTGCATAAATATTTTATACTTACAACTTAAACAGATAAATCCAAATGCATACAGCATTTTGGGTGCTATCAGAGAATTTAACATTTTGGCAATGTTTTGTATTTATTTCTCTCGATTTATTTTTAAGGTCCTTTTGCGACCGTTAAAGGATTTTTCTTTTACACAAACTATAAAAAATTGAGAAAATAAAAACAACTTTAATGAAAATAAATCACTTTTGCAGAATTTCCTTTTTTGTATTTTCAAAATATTATTTTTTCTTTTCTTTTAGGGATTTGAACATCCTTTTGTTATCACTTGTATTCCTTTGGTTTTACTTGCTTACATCCAATGATATAAGAATTTGCAAATTGTCACAAAAAAAACTTGAAACTTAAAATAAATTAAATTTTTAGGACCAGTTTAGCGTTTTATTTCGCGGAGCTCACTTCTTTTTTATCCAACCGATCACTGCGAACACCCAAACCGTACTGACAATTTAAATGCCAACTTAATAATAACTTGGCTCTTACAGATGCTGGCTAACTGACTAGATGGTTGGCTGGCTGACTCGCTGGTTGGTCCGTTGATTTGCCGCTGCCTGTTTAGCTTTTGCTGGCTAGTTTTTGATGCCAGTCAGCCAGCCATCAGGTTGTTGGTGTTCGTATTTGAGTTGTCTGGACACAATATAATGTGTTATTTTTTGCCTGTACATTCATTCGTACACGATGTAGTTTTGTTTTATTCTCCAAACTCCATTTCTTTGCACAAAACCAAAGATGAAACAAAATAAAACAAATGCATGGCACAAAGTTCAAGCAACATGAATAGTAATGTACCCTGCCAGAGATACGATACAAAATGTTTATAAGAGTCATAGGCTTTTGATGAACGGTATAAGGGAAAAACATATGTTAATTAGAAAGACATAATTTTGGATTGTTTTGAGGTACATTTTTTTGCAGGCTCTTTCATCGAGGATTTGTAAGAACTTTTTAAAAGCAATTCCTATGAGCTCTATTAGTGGAATTACATAATTTAAAAAAAAAAATCAGTCATGATTCCTCTTCATGTTTCTTGAGATTTTTTCAAGGCTATCAAAGAAATAATCGTGGTCATTTCCTCAAAATATCAACGACTAACAGAGCTATAATCAAAGATTTTCAAAGACATTTTTAGGACTATCATGCTTCTTTTTCAAAATATTTAATACATTCAAGATATTATCCGTATATATCTATATCTTTAAATGAGGAAAATGTTTGTATGTTTCTTTGTTGTTTGTAATTTATGGACTCGAAAACCGCTGAACAAATTTTCGTGAAATTTTCAAGTATACTACAACATCGCCCGAATGTAACATATGCTATATACATTTTTTATACCCTCCACCATAGTATGGAGCGAACATTAAGTTCTTCATTTCGTTTGTAACACCTCGAAATATACATTTTAGACCCAACAAAGTATATATATTCTTGATCAGCATAAAAATTCTATGTCGATTTAGCGATTTCCGTCCGTCCGTCTGTGAAAATCACTCTAGCTTCCGAACGAAATAAAGTAGGTTGATAAATGTTTATTCAAATGTGTATTATGTCTGCATAAAGCACCTACCTTCTTTCGGTATTTTGGTGATTTTAGCGACATTATTCGCCGGATATCTTTCAAATTTGTCATTTGAAGTTCGTAATGGATGCTACAGAAAATTGTTTGTGCAGGTCCACGTCTTCGTATAGCCCCCATATAACGGCACCTACGTTCTTTCGGTATTTTGATGATTTCAGCGACATTTTTCACCGGAATTGTTTCAAATTTGGTGTTTGAAATTCGTAATGGATACTACAGCCTATGACAGAAAATTGTCTGTGCAGGTCCACGTCTTCGTATGGCCCCCATATAACGATACCTCCCGATATTCGGTATTTTGATGATTTTAGCGACATTATTCACCGAATTTTTTTTATTCACGTTTCGCATTTGAATATTGTAATGGTTTGTGACACGTCGTCGTATAGACCCTAATATAACGGCTACATTCGGTATTTTTATTATTTTAACAGAATATTTAACGGATTTTATTTTTTTGAAAATTGCCAAAATCGTTCTAAATGGCGGAGGGTATTCAAAGATCGGCCCGGCCGAGCTTACTGCTTTTTTACTTGTTGAAATTCCACTTGGAACTGGAGCTATCGCATCAGAATCGGAGGTGATTTCCAAAAATTTAGATTTTATATGCACATAACTATTGATCGATTATAGATACAGTCTCCAAATTTGGAATGCGTAACGGAATTTGAAACAAAAATAACTTTGCCAAATTATATTGAAATCGTTTCAGATTTGGATATAGCTCCCACATATATTTTCGACCGATTTAGTAATTTGATGCACCAAACACATGTATGTTTGTTCTATTCCAATGAAATTTGGCATGAGAGACTAAATTTGGTGAAAAAATAAGTTTGTCAAATTATATACAAATCGTCTCCGATTAAGATATAGCTTCTATATTTATTTTCCGCCGATTTTACATATTTGATGCACCCAACCCAACGATATATATATATATATATATATATATATATATATATATATATATATATATATATATATATATATATATATATTGGCCGATTTCGTGTATGTTATGCACCAAACACGATATGTCCGATTCCAATGAAATTCAGAATTTGTGACGAAATTTTATGTAAAAGTAAATTTTATCAAATTATATTGAAATCGGTTCAGATTGGGATATGATTTTATTAAGAAACATTGACCCACAACGCCTTTGCCATGGTGTTAGGCTAACAATAAAAATTACATGACAATTTAATTGAGAATACGATTATTACGGGGAAGTATGTTACTACCTAAAATTTTCTAATTGCAACAGTAATGCCATCCAACTTCAAAAGATTACAGTTTCCTGCACAATTGACTTTTGCTATGAAATTAATAAATCCGAAGGAACAAACCCTGCTTTTCTCAAGGTCAACTGTTCCTGGCATATTCAAGCGTTGTGAGAGCGTGTTATTTGTTTGTTTACTCATTAAACTATTACAATAATAACGTTTTATATATTTTTGAATTTGTTTTATTTTTTTTTTTATACCCTCCACCATGGAAAGGAGGGTATATTAACTTTGTCATTCCATTTGTAATATCCCTAAATATTCGTCGTAGACCCCATAAAGTATATATATATATATATATATATATATATATATATATATATATATATATATATATATATATATATATATATATATATATATATATATACCTCCCGATATGCGGTATTTTTTTTGTTTTTTTTTCACATTTTTTCACGGATTTGTCTAAAAATTGGTATTTGTTGGTCATACTGGGTTCTGGCTGCGGTGGCGAAACATTGTATGTATAGGTCCACATTTTGGTATAGCTCCCATATAACGGTACATCCAGATATTTGGTATTTTGATGATATTTGTCACATTTCTTTGCGGATTTGTCTAAAAATTGGTATTTTTGTGTCCTAATGGGTTCCAGCTCCGTTGCCGAAATATTGTATGTATAGGTTCACGTTTTTGTATAGCCCCATATAGCGGTACCTTCCGATATTCTATATTTTGATGATTTTGCGACATTTTCCGACGAATATGTCTAAAAATTGGTATTTGTGGGACAAAATGAGTTCTAATGTTTCCTTTACCCTAAAGTGGAGGGTATTAAGAGTTTGGCCCGGCCGAACTTAATGTTTTTTATTTGTTATTTTTTTAATATTTAATGATTCGTGGATTTTGCGTCATATTTCCAAGGACTCAATGCTGGGTATCTGGTAATATTTTCCAGTAATTCTAACTGGAATTTAAGCATAATTTCTATAAATATTACAATTCAGAAATATTCTCAAATTTTTTACAATGAATATTTTGAATGTCTTAAGTCGTATTTCCTGATTTATATTATTGAAGGTCTCTAAATGTGGAGAAGATGCACATTGATTTTAAGTGATATTTTTAATGCATTCTAAAATTAGATTAGCAATATTTATTTTTTAGAATTTATGAGTTCCGATAGCGGTAACATACAAATCAATCAATTCAGTACACATATACTTCTTCAATCCTGCATCATTATCGCGCTCAGAGATTCCAGCAAAACATAGTTTTGTTTTTTGTCGTCGTCGGTATTATCGTTGTATGCATAAATCTCATCGCCATCGACCGCCCGACCATTCATTCAGTTTCGAGCAAATAGTTTTCATTGCTGGCCACTAAAGCAGTTGGCAAACTCTTCTATGCATATTTCTAACCAAACAAAGATGTTGACGCTGACGCTGCTCCTGTAGCTGTTGCCTAGCATTGGCAAAAACGTCGTCGCCGCCGCCATTAAATCGCAAATATGTTGTTGTACATCCAACAGCAAATGTAGATATCGCCTATGAAAATGTTGTTGATTTAAACGGCGGCTGCCCGGTGTGATGCTACTTGCCGTTTTCTTGGCTATAATGGAGAATATTGTTGTTGTTTGCTGTGGCTTGTATTTGTATTTCAATTTTACTTGCCGCTACTTGTCTTGTCTGTCAAGATTTGCGTTTGGTTTTGTTGGTTGGTCGCCAGGCTTGGCTTGGCTTGGCTTTAAGCTCATCATAAGAAGAACAGAAGATAAACAAGAAAAAAATAGTTGCTGTTGATTTTTTTTAATATTCAATATGTTTTATTCGATGAATTAACCGACAAAAAAAGCACAGCAAAACACAGCAAAGCGGTGGAATATTTTTTTTCTCGATTTTATTTTACTTATTTAATTTTGGTTTTTAATTTATTATTTTTGTTTTGTCTTCATTTTTTGTAGATACCTCTCGTATTAGTTCCAGTGACATAAATTTGTTTTAAACGAAACAAGTTTTTCATTTCAACAACAATTCGGACATGTTTTAAAGTGTACAAGAGATCCAAATGAATTTGAATTTCAAAGAAATCCAAAAAACCCCAAGCCGCATTCAATCTCAATAAATTTAAAGCAGATGCTAACAAATACTTTATGAATTAAATAGCAAATATTTATGGGGGGAAAGATTCGTTCTGTGAATTCTTAAAAAATATAAATCTGTTGTCCCATGAAATCATTTCAAATGTAGACAAGTTTGCAGGGAATATTTAGCCGACAAAAGAGAAATGATATTGCAATAATATTGTTCTAATAAATATTGTTAAGTATTTAATTATTTATTTAAGATTTATCCAAAATGAAAGACCTTTGCAAGGAGGAAGACAGCGGAATTAAACAATGGAAGCATTTTACCCCACCAAACTCGAATACTGTCTATTAAACACCAAAATCGGAATTCTGACCATATTTGTTTATAAAAGTTTGTTTTTGGAAGAATACAATTTGTAACCTCATATATATTTTAGACCCCACAAAGTACATATATTCTTAATCAGCATAAAATTCTATGTCGATTTAGCGATGTCCGTCCGTCTGTGGAAATCACTCTAGCTTCCGAACGAAA